GGGGGAGGGCAGAAGGAGAGGGAGAAGCAGACTCCCCACTGAGCAGGGAGCCCTGAGATCATGACCTCAGGTGAAGGCAGACAGGCACCCCAAGGCATGCTTTTACGTTTCAAGACTAGCTGGGATACATTTTAAGGAATGGACACAGGTGGAAGGGTGAAGAAATACCACTATAAATGAAAGCAGATGAAAACGACAGAAGATCAGTGTTTTTCTAACAACACAACACTGAAAGTAGAAAATGTAGTTTCTAAAGAGTACATTTTAATATGTCAGTACATAAGAAAAGGCATGCGAAAAGATATAAGAGGAAAAAGACATGTCCTCTTTGGAGGTAGGAGAAACAAGCTGTGGCAGGTGATCTGACCAGGCAAAAGAAAGCCAACCAAACAGGATTTAGCCTAATGGGGGTTAATTATTGACCTTGCTGGTCAGGAGAGTTGAAAGTTTTTTCATCAAAAATTAATATTCTCAACTACTACTTTGTTTTGCCATTCCTAAGGCATTTTAAAGTATTCCCATCTATTTTCAGGCTTTTAAATGGTTTTTCTTTTTATTTCTAATTCATCTTCAGACAATTATTCCTGCTTTTCTAGGATTTTCTTCCTGTTTTTTTATTTTCATTTTTTAAGATTTCATTTATTTTTGCGTGTGCGTGCACGAGCGCACGAGAGAGAGAGAGAGAGAGAGAGAGAACGCATGTGTGCGCACACAAGGAGGGGGCAGAGGGAGAAGAAGACTCCCTGCTGAGTAGGGAGCCCAATGCAAGACTCAATCCCATGACCCTGGGATCATGACCTGAGCGGAAGGTAGACACTTAACGGACAGAGACACCCAGGCGCCCTCTCCTTATTTTCAGACTATTTTTCCTACTCTTTTATATTTGTGATAGGGAAAAAGCAAAACATAAATATATGTAAATGTAATGTAAATGGTCAATAACTGAAGTGGCTAAAAAGGAGGATTAGCTGGAATAAGCCAAAGAGCTACAAAATAATCTCAAATCACCAAGTTTCCAACACTGGAAAACTTGATTGGTAGTATTCATTTTGACCAAACTGTTCTGTTGGAAAATTTCCTTTAACCCAAATTTTGGCATGAAGCACATATCTGTAATCAGTAACATTCACAAGTTAATTTCATCCAGATTTAATGTAAAGTGGCTAAAAAAAAAAGTCTAAAGCAAGTTTTAATTTAGGCAATTGGAAAAATAAACCAGGGATACATATTGATCAGGGATGGGGGAAGGGCACAGATATTACTTTTTCCACTACTGGGTAAGGAATCCTAGAAATTAACTAAACATGTTCCCTAACTCTAAGCAAAGGCTACAAATTATTAGCCCCATGAGGTGTCCAACACAGACTGGAGTGCCTGTAGCCTATGCCAACCGAACAACTTTACTATAAAGTTATCGTTCAGAAGCCTGGGCCTCTCATCATTACCATTATTGGCAACTATCCAAATAAAGTCCCTCCTGTCATCTATGTTTCTGAATTTTTCTCTGTATTTCTTTTATACCATGTTATCTCTGGCAGTTCTCCTCCCTCTCAATCCTTTTCATTTTGAATTCCCCTTATACATTGTTTAACTCACCCCTCTCCCTCTAATACACACACACACACCCTCTTCAGATCTTCCTGTAATGCTATCATCTCTCTAGCTTAATTAAATCTTAGTTACCCTGAAGGACAGCACTTTTCAAACACTTTTTTCAAAATGGAGGCTGCACATTTTTCCACACTCCACTACTCTCACCAGAGAAGGCTTTGGTCTTAGTGCAGCTCCACATTACCACTTCCAATTCCATCACTCCAATGAAGAAAAAAATATCTTCTCCTTTGAGGTTCATGCCTTCCAGCTAATTTATCCTTGTCCCTGCCATCTACTAAACTTCTAGTCATCTCTCACATGCAACCCCGGTTCCTGGCTTGCAAGCCTTCTCCATTCAATCCCATTATCAATGTCCATGTGGGATTATCTATGTAAAACCTAAGAACTGAGATGTTCTTCAATTCCTCAGCCTTGGCCATAATTCCTGCTCTGCCTCTGAAATTCTGAACCCCAATTTCTCACTCCATGATTAAAATCTCCTATCCTTCCAGTTCCACTCCCATTACTCCATCTGTTCTTCAATTTATTGAGAAACTGGAGGGGTGCCTGGGTGGCTCAGTCCGTTAAGCGACTCTTGATTTCAGCTCAGATCATGATCTTAGGGTCCTGAAATTGAACCCCATGTTGGGTTCCGAGCTCAGCAGAGTCTGCTTATCCCTCTCCCTCTGCTCCTACCCTCACTCACTCTCTCCCTCTCAAATAAATACATAAAGAAAATCTTAAAAAAGAAAAGAAAAAGAAACTGGACAGCCCCTCCTTATCAACCCCCTTCTGGAAACTGGACAGCCCCTCTTTATCAACTCCCTTCTGGATACCTTTGCTTCTTACAATTTTAAAGGTATTCCATCATCCACCCACTTTTTAAACAACATCCTAAATTGTTTTGCCCTTTTGTCCTATTCTACCTATAAGGGAAAATTGCAATTCGTGGATGAGTTGGCTTCTAAACTTGGGTGCTTAGTATAAAGTCATCAAAACG